CATTCAAATTTAATGAAACCTATACTAAAAATCAAGCTGATTTTTTTATTCCAAAACTGTTAGCTGCAGTATATGAATCACAACCGTTCCGTAGATATCAATCAATATCTAATAGAGGGTACTAGTATTATTAATATATTAGGAATAGAATATCTTACAATCAGAAACCGGTCCAAATATGGTTACAATAAAAAGAATTTGAACTTGACTTTTTTGTAAAGTTTCATCCAATTATTTTCAGCTTTATCGCATTCAAAAATTGTTATCATTAAGGTTAGACTATGGACTGCTAATTGATGTAATTCTAATAATTATAAAAAGCTGATTCTTGAGTCAGATTTGTCTGTTTCAATGAAAATAGTAAGGCTTTTTTTTATAGAGGTCGCTACATATGTTTATTGAGCAGGCATTTCTTACAGTAGCAATTGACGTTAACTTCCAAAAGATCTGCAGACTCATAAAACAAAGTGAAGAATTTTTTTTCAAAAATTATTAATTGAAAGCGCTGCATCATTTCTATAAAAAGAAAAATATTTAAACATTCCCAGCCAGTTCTATCTGTTCAAACGACTGTGAATGAGTTTTCTTCGTCTTGAGTTTTTTTTCTAGGAGATTATAGATCGGCATATGAAATAGGATTTCCTCTTTTTTACATATATGTTTTTTTTATAAAGAACTTTTAAACCTTAAAGAAAGATATATTTTCTTTTTCGCGACTTCAAACGTTTTTGACAATTGTTAATATCAAGTTTGAGCGCAAAATACTGTTTTCATGTCACTTAAAAATAGAAGTGTTTACTTTGTTAGTTACTAAGACTACATATATTCGAGTCAAATTGAAGTTTTTCACACGAAATCAACAAACTTTAAATATAGACTGACCTTGATGTGCAAGAACTGAGATATTCGAATTTTTGGGATAGTTATTGTAAAGACAAGGAAGTTCTCTTTTTCTGATGATAGGTCAGTTGATATGTCTTTGGTTCTATTAAATCCGAATTTCCATGCTCCATAAGATTTCAAATAGTATGTCGAAATGTCTGTCATGGTCTAGTGGTTCACTTTTCTCGTCAGATACTTGGACGCTCATCAACAATCGTATTTCACAGAAGATATAGCCAGAATAAAACTATGGTAGCATCAAACGATTTTTTCATTGATAATCGAAAACAAATTGCATCTCTCTAGAAATTCTTATTTAAATATTCGATAGCGTCTGTAATAGCTTTATTCTTTTGTTTTTCAACTTGTGGAGTGCCGTCAGGTCGAACAACAAATCCATGAGTAGTGCCAGGATAATCGATAAATTTTCCAAGACCAGTTCGAGTTAGTTCTTTTTCAAAATGTTTACGTATGTCGGGTATAAATCTTTCATCAGTTTCAGCACATTGAAATAGAATCGGACGTTTTATTTGATTTGCTTCTTCTTTGACTAGAAACGATGGATGAGCTACAACACCTGCTTTCACCGACGAAGATAATTCAGGATGGGTTATCAAATGAATCACTATTTTCCCACCGTAGCAGAAACCGACAACCTACAGTAGTGTAACAAATAATTTTGATATTGTGATCAAATTTGTAAAAAAAAATAATACGCTTACTTGAATAGAGTCATAGTGTCGTTTGATAATTGAAATGATTTTATCAGCCACAGTACAAGCATCTGTTGGAGGATGTTTTTGAAGCCATGCTGGTAATTTATCGAATAAATTCGGTTCGTTCGGATTCATTGAATCACCATTAAAGAGATCGGGTACGAGAACAGTTGCTTTTGTACCCTGTGCATATGTATCAGCTATTTTGCGTATGTTAATAAAAGAGAAACCAAAAATATCGGTAAAAATGACAATTGTTGATTTTCCTTGACCAGTTTTGTATGTTGCTATTCCAGCTAGTTTCTCTTCGTGTCCTTTTGCATCGTAAATCTGTTTTGCTCCAGGATCAACACAACACGAACCGTTCTTTTCATTGATAATTTCTTTCGTAGACGAATTAAACGAACGACATAACGTTTTTATAACCGCTGTAGAATAACGAATGGTAAACATGTGTTAATATTGAAATAGGAAAGAAAGTAGATGCATATATATTGTCTTTAATGATCTTTCTCCTCATTCATTCTTGTTTTTCTTTCCATTAGTATCTTCATCTACCAATGAGAAATGCCAAGAAAAAGATGGCGCTCAGAACTGCTATAATTTTTATAGATCTTCATATTTCGAATGCCAAATGGCTTGTTAACATATCCATATAGTTACTGCGAGTTCTCTATATCAGACAAACAAAACCTTCTTCTTCCTTTTCAAAACCGCAAATCGTAAATATGATTGAAAGAAAACGGGTAGATTTTGAGATGCCTTATCAAAATCTATGCCATATATGTAATAAAGTTTTATTAAAATCATAATGATAGAGCTAAAAGGAATTAGACTAATATAAGAGGCTATGGAAAACAAGTAATACAGTGCCAAGTAATCCGATAGTTCCGTCTTCTAATTTTTTTTCTTTCATGTTTATCAATGCACACTTCTCTAGTGAAAATCCTTGATGTTTCCTTACCAGATCCGACCAGGATCCTTCAAGGATTCTGTTTTTTCCTGAGGAAACGACAAAATCCTGAAGAAAGCATGTAGCCATCGAATTTCACGATCCTCGCAGGACTCGCAAAAGGATTCATTCAAGATCCTGAAAGGATTACCATTAATTTTATATCAGCAATCGTTCAGGAAACTGTAAGTCTTGAAAGAAACACGTAGCCATCAAATATTCCAAATGCTGACTAGAGAGGTACGAATTACAAGTCTTTTGTATGCGTTTCGATGTGAATGTAAGTATTTGTTAATTGTATCCTAACTCGCATCGCGACCCATATTTTAGTACTCTATGTTTTTTAAGATTTTTCTCTAAGTCAGCGGTAATTCTTAACAGAATTTTCGTGTCAGAGCCTAGAATAGATTCTGAACAGATCTTGACAAAATCCTGTCTGCTATTTTTATTAGAATTCTAGATAGAATTGAGTCTGGTTTCTGGCAGAATCCTAAATTCTAAGTGTATAAAATAATTTGGGCAGGATCTTGAAGAAATTCTAAACAGGATCGCCTTTAACCCTGGAAAATCCTGAAAACAGAATTTATTAGGATTCGACATAGGATTCTGAACAAAACTTGGCAGGATCCCTCCAGGATTCCTCAAGGAATGAAGAGGATTGAGACTAGAGATAGTTGTTGTCATTCTTCTTCATGCATAACTTATTTTTGGAAAGAAAAATTGAGCCACTCTGTTTCATTACGACCAAGATTTTTACAGACGAAGTCACACATAGTTAATTCTTTCAAAAGCAAAAAATTTGGCTGGTAACGAGAAACTGCTTAGGGTTCTCTTAAATGCTATAACGAAAGTCGATAGAGAATTTGGGGAAAAACAAGTAGTCGAGAGTGAAAGGAGAGGAACGAAGATGTGAATGCGGTAGGGTGTGGGGAGGTGTGGCTGTGGTTGTGGCTGTCGGTTTAGACGAAAGGTAGACTCATGCCCATACGTACACGCACATCCATACTCATGCCCCACCCTATCCAATAGAACGAATATTTCCTTGTCTATTAATTTACGTCTCATTTGTAAATACAGCAACGAGAATAGAAGTGATCAGTACACATATGATGTTAGACTATTAAATTTTGCTCTCGCATATACATAAATGTTTCTAATGTTAGAAGATGATAGGTGATATTGGTAGTATGAATATACTATCACTCTCATTCTACTTAAAATAGTTTTTTTATTATATTTATTATTTTCTCTCGTATCAATAGATTACGTAGGTCGATTTATCTCAAGTACTATATGAACGATAGAATCCATTTTTTTATTTTTCTACTATAAGAATAAAAAAATGATACTATTATCTAGGTATATACTTCATGTCTTTACAAATATGGAAGTTTCTTGTGCAAAAAACATTTGTAGATTACGTTTGCATTGATTCTTTGTGGCATTGTTATATCGAATTTTTTCTAAAGTGCAAATATCAAGATCAAAACAAATCAATAAATAAAGTACATTGAAAACAAAGAAAAAAAAACATTTTTCTTGAATACTTCTAATTTTGTTGCCATTTTTTTGTTCGTAGGATGTGTAAACAAATGAATGTTAAAAAAAATCAAGGGTATGTTTTTTTTTCTTTCTTTTTGTTCTGTTATTTTCTTTGTCTTTGCTTGATTGCATCTTATCAAGAGTCTTTTGCCACTTTTCATCTTTTTTTTCTAACGTATTTGCAAGCTTAAATGACTGGAAATGCGTTAAAACTAATCCATCACTGTTCATTAGGTTTCAGAAATGTTTTTCTTCCACTTTTCGAGAATCAAGTCTCAATGTCAGGTTCCATTAATTTTTTATTTAAATAATGTAACAACAACCTAAGTCTTTTAGGTGGAGTGTGAATGTAAATGTGACTATGGATGGGTGCCCGTATCTCTGCATGGTCGTCCACACCCACACCTTTAGTCTCATCCTCACCATTCTACTTATACTCCCACCCGCACCCTCGCCTGTCAAAAGAATTAACCCTAATAAGACCTCTCTTGGACTATCACTTGTTGTCGTCATGGAGTTCGTGCAGACTCCTATTAACAAAATAAATATATAAAAAAAAAAAAAGAATTTCATGCGTCCTATTTCGAAGATCGCGAAGGCGACAAAAGATGTCAGCCACTCTCGATTTAATTAAAACTTACTGCTCTAGCTGTAGTTGTTGAGATCGGTGTCTGGTCTCGCTTTCATTATCTCGCACACAGATCAGAAAGTCCACAAATTATTTTCATAATGCGGGTTTTACTTTAGGTGAACGAAATGTATTATCGAAAATTAGAGAAAATATTTACTATTTTGAGAACTCTCCTTTCTTATATGTGTTTCAATCAACATGCACTGATGCTCTGTTCTCGAGATCATGGCTACACAATATATGGACTTTGGATGTTTAACATCGAGAGAAAAGAATTCGCGACCGACTACTAGAAGATGCTTCGCACCTTAAAAATATGATAACAGCAGCTGGTCTCTTATATTTATCATTATTGCTCGTACATGGGTTTGTTGCGTTATCTATTGTTAACAGAGTGCAGTAGAGAGTTTTAACATGCACTGCTTCTTCTTTTAGAGCTAGTCACAATCATCATCACAACTACAATAAAGCGTATATCGTGTATGAGTTTTTCTCGTTCGGGCTGCATTATGAATATATTCAAGCTAATCTTCTATATAATTTATCGTGTTATTACAGATGTGATTACGAGTCTTCAATCGTATTGGTTTCATTCTCCCAAAAATAACACTGCCATCCAATGTGAAATTTTGACGATTTTGTATCGCCTAAAGTTAACCGAAGGCGATATACCCAGAGATTGCGATTTTATGTGGCTGCATCAAAAATTTTATGATGCTGAAAAGCTCCTGAAATATAATCCAAATTGGGTACTTTACACGATTTCTGATCGATATGCCTATTTTACA